TTTTGTTTTTTGATTTTGTTTTCTCGCATTCTTCTTATAGAGCTGTGTTGGTTGATAGTCTCTTAAGTTATTTTCAGATTCCAGCCTGTAAACGTCCTTTGCGTTTGAGCGCCTCTTCCTTTCGGTCTCTGCAGCTCGGAGTGTGGTTTTCTCTTGGCTGCGCCTGTTTGGCCTTGGAAGACTACGGAGGTTCAGCGAGGGCGTTTCAGCGTTGTGTGACTCTAGAACCCGACGTAAGTTTGTTTGCTCTTCTTTCCTCATCACAGCTCCTTGGCAGTCTCTGAGTTATTTGAGTTGCACTGTAGTTCAGAGCAGCAATTTCTACGAGTATGTAATTTCAGTTATGCAAGAGGGATGTACAACATGGTGTCTACAGTTAACAGTACTGTATCGTGCACCTAAAAATTTATAAAGAAGGCAATTTCATGTTAAACGTTCTTATCACAATAGAGAGAGAGAGAAAAGAAAGCAAAAAAGAGGCAAACTTCCTATTATTCTATGTCCAAGAAAATAAATACCAGTTCCTTTAGTTTTGGAGGAAAGTATACATTGATAGATGGTCACACCTTAAGGTATTTGATTTATAAATCTAGAAATTAATTTCTTCTTATAGTAGCTAAGTTATTAATGGTTTTGCTTAGAAAATAATTTTGATCAAACAGTTTTTTAGCTAACAATATACTTTGCTGAAGTATATATAGCAAAGTGTCACATATACTTTGCTGTTCACTAACATGTACTGCCTCTGTTAACTGCATTTTTAGAAAGTTCTTTTAGTTTACAGTCTTTAAATATTTAACAGCTTTACTGAGGTGGTAAATAATTTACATACCATTTAAAGTGTACAATCCATTGATTTTTTTAGTATATTCAGAATTGTACAACCATCACCATAATCAATTTTAGAATGTTTTTATTATCATAAAAAAAATTCTTATACCCATTAGCAGTCACTTCTCATTTCTCCCAAACCCCTTCCACCCTGACCCCTGACCCCCAGCCCCAGGAAACCACTGATGTACATTATGTCTCTATAGATTTGCCTATTCGGGACATTTTCTGTAAATGGAATCATACAATATGTGGTCTTTTGTAACTGGCTTCTTAATTTTTTCATGGTTCCTCCATGTTGTTGTATGTATCAATATTATCTTCCAATGATATTCCATTATATGGGCATATCACGTGTTATCAATCCATTCATCATTTGATGGGCATTTGAATTGTTTCCACTTTTTGGCTATTATGAATTATGCTCTTTGAACAATCATTAACAAGTTTTTGTGTGGACATATGTCTCTATTTCTCTTGGGTATATACCTAGTAGTAGAGTTAACTGGGTCGTGTGTTAGTTCTGTGTTCAAAATTTTGAGAAACTGCCAGACTGTTTTCTAAAGCATCGTTTTACATTCCCACTAACAGTGTGTGAAAGTTCCAGTTTCTCAGCATCTTTGTCAACACTTGTTATTATCGTCTTGATTATAGCCATCCTAGTAGGTGGGATATTTCATTGTGGCTTCAATTTGAATTTCCTTCATGGCTAGTGATGCGGAGCATCTTTCCATGTGCTTGTTGGTCATTTTATGTCATCTTTGGAGGAATGTGTATTGACATCCTTTGCCCATTTGGGTTATTTGTCTTTTTATGTTTGAGTTGTAAAAATTCTTTATATATCCTTGATACGAGTCCTATAGCAGACATATGATTTGCAGATATTTTCTTTCATTCTGTAAGTCGTTTTTCACTTTCTTGAGAGTGTGTTTTGAGGTACGAAAGTTTTTAGTTTTTATAAGGTCCAGCTTATCTATTTTTTCTGCTGTTGCTTGTCCTTTCGGTTTCATACTGAAGAATCTATTTCCAAATCCAAGGTTATGAAGATTGCCTTATCTTTTCCTCTGAAGGTTCTATTGTTTTAGCTCTTACGCTTGTGTCAGATCTGCTGTTAAGCCTATTCAGACTTAATCAGACTCTGTGTGGTGGTGGATATTCAGTAAACTTATTGTGGTAGTCACTTCACCACATACAGATACATCAAATCATTGCATAGTACACCTAAAACTAACACAGTATTATATCTCAATTACATCTCAATTTAAAAAAACCTAAACATCATTTCAGGTAATGTATTTTTTCAGTTCAAGGATTTTTATTTGGTTCTTGTTACAGTTTCCATGTTTCTTTTAAGAGATTGCTCATTGTTCCCTTAGTATCTTCATGTTTTCTTCAAATCTTTGATTAATTTATAACAACTGTTTTGAAGTTTTTGTGTGGTTATTCCAACATCTCTTTAATTTCTATCTGTTTCTATTAACCAATTTTTACTTTGATTGTGGGTGAATTTTCCTGCTTGTTTGCCTGTCTACCAACTTTTTTTTTTAATTATTATATCCTACACTTGTGGATGCTATGTTGTTGAGTTTTTCGGTTTTGTTGTCTTCCCTTGAGGAAGGTAGAGTTTTATTTTGATATTTGGTTAATTCATTTGTGGATCAGCTTGATTTTAAGCTTAGGGTGGGTCTGGAGTTGTCCTTATTCTAGAGTTGCAGTCACCCTTCCCTTAAGGTATAACCTTTTGAGGTCTGAACTTAATCCCATAGGTGATCAATGAGAATTCTCCACTCTGGTTGGTTGGAACTTGAATAACTGCCAGCGCTGTGTGACCTCTAGACTCTCCATTCAGCTCACAGCTCTCTGGTCGTTGTTCTCCGCCTGTCCGTAAGAAGTCTTGCCCTGTACATGTACAGCTTACTAATCAGCCAGGGACTCAGGGAGATGCTTATTGAGATTCCTGAGCTTATTCTCTGCAAAATTTCTCATCCCTGATTTTTTGTCCTGCAAATCGAAGCCCTAAACGCTGCTCTTTTTCCCTTCGTCTCATTAAGACTTGCAATGCTGTGTTTGGTTTCTGCCATTCTGTGCCTCCTGATAAACGTGTAGGTTGCTTGACGAGACATCTCAACAGCCCTTCTCTCAAGGCTCACAATCCTGTGCTTCCCGTTGTCCAGCGTCTCAAAAACAGTTGTTGCCTAACTTTTGTTCCGTTTGTAACTTTCTGTGGTGATATAGCTGGCCTGGTACTAACTGTGCTATGTCTGTAAGCAGGGGTCCATTGCTGTTTAATTTTAAAATCATATGTATGGTATTTGAGAACTATATACTCTATATTTTATAAAAGGTGGAACAAAGAGGAACATACATAATTTATATCTTTCTTTTGAGACTCAACATTTATACAGAGGTTTTAATTTATTTCTGTCATTACATAGAAGAATAGGTAGAAAAATATGTTTGATTGATGAAATACTTAGGCATAACACTGGAAAACACATACTCCTTTATTCTCCTATCTGATGAAAGATGACGGTAAAAAAGGAAAGCCTTTTAGGATAGAAACTCATGCTTTGAATTTGTAATAAATCTGTACATTGTATATATTACATTGTAAATTGTCCAGCTGTTTTGTTAACTCTAAATTTGGAAATAAAATCTTAACTAAATTCCAAGTTATGATATAATAGTTATATCATTTTGTTGTTTTGTTTTTGTTCTAAATTATAAATGTTAAGTTTATTTAATTTTCTCGTATACTTTTAAATATACTTTTTTGAAAATCGTGATTGTAAAGAGCACATCTTAGACTAGGAAAATATATTATGTTTTTGGTTGTAACAATTATTATCCCTAAATGAGAGCAATCTATAAATGGGTTCTCTATCATTTCAGAATGCTGAAGCTTGGAACAATTTATCAACTTCCTATATCCGATTAAAACAAAAGTAAGTACCTCAGAAAAATATGAAGAACTTTGCTTCCAAAATAAATGAATGAGATTTTCTTCAACTGAACACTGAAACATTGTGCCTTATGCTTTATCTTTTTCCCTCGCCTGCCCATATCTTTGAGTTAGAATGACTTAATATAGCCATCTGAATTCTAAATGTAGTTTATTTCTTAAAAACATTTAATATGTAATAAAATAAGAAATATTATTTGTAATCTTTGAGACTGAGGTTTTGTATCCTAAATTTCATTGCATGATAAAAGCAAGCATGCCTTTAGCCAGTCAGCTCAACTGATAAATTCTTATTATTGATTGCTTACCATGCACTGGACATTACTGAGAAATATAAGAGTGAACCAATGTCTTCAGGGTGTATGGGTTTAGAAAATAAGATATTATACCATATTATTCTGAAAAATTGACTAATAATATAAGTGGTATGTAGTAAATGTCAAGTGAGAAATACAGAGAGGGCTATGATAGTAGCAGGTGATATTCATAGAACCCTTATTCTGAGCCACTCACGTAGTCCTGTGAGGATCTCAGAAGAGAGAAGGTGTATGATGCTCGGTCAGAAATGCTTCTGAGAGAAGGATGGATTCAAGCTAAAATTTGAAGAATGGGTAGAGGGGAGAGAGAAAAGTCTTTCAGCAAGAGGAGTGGGACCAAGTGCAGAGTGACAGGCACGAATGCCACACTTCAGGAGGCAGGAAGTAGAACAGTCCAGCTTGAGACTCTGGTGAGATTCACCGGGAGAGATGAGGTTGGAAAGGTCGGTTGGGGTCAAATGGCAGCGTGTTCTGATCATCTGACTAACTAGTTGAGACTATGCTGCTGGTAATAGGAAGCCAGAGATTTCAGTAGGGTAATTTCATAAAGAAAGAAGCTTTTTAGGAAGATTTATTTGGTGGCAGACGAGAGAGGAAACTGGAGGCTGGGAAACCAGTTAGGAGACAGCTGTTGTAACAATCCAGGCAGGAGATAACGAGACTGGAAGAAGAAGGGGCAGATGGATGCCAGTTTATTAAGGGGACAACCAACTGGGCTTACTGACCGGCCAGAAAGCTAAGGAAAGGGAAGGGTGGCTGTTGCCTCAATTTTGAAGAAATGAATTAAAGGGTGGTTATATTTCCATTTTTATTTGGCTTTATTTTCAAACTTAATTTAATTATTCTTTGTGGATTCACAAGTATTTCTGAAGATACTAAATCCACATTACGTCGAGATCATGAAATGCTTCTGTTCCTCTTGGATGACAGTCTATATAAATAAAGCACTGTTTGTTCTGTCACTCTCTTTGGAAAATAATGTTGTGTTCGTGATTAGGACTGATTGTGTTAAAACTCAGTAGAGACCTTTTTGGTTTAAATCTAAAGGCAGGGGAAATCCCTGACATACTTGTGGAATGAACTCATTGGGTTTTCTTGTAACCCTGATGATTTTGTATGTAGCAAGGCACTTGATACTCTGCATTGTCCTCCAGCCCATTAATCTGAAGAATTCTAGTTGCTTTCTCTCAGTGGTTCTTGCACATTGTTCCCCAGCTTCTTTTTGACGCTTTTTTTTAATCTTCCTGAAGCTCCATGAATAGGTTTTTGTGTAAAAGTGAGGTTATAAAGTCAGAGGTAAATCATTCTTTATTCTTGCCTTTTTACTCTTTGCTTTCTTTGCTGCTCCGGACATAGCTCATTTTTGACTCATGAGATTTTACTTCAGGGGCAGTTATTACTGCTCCTCTCAAAAGAATCTATCTGTGGCTTAAAATGACCCTTTAAACTATCTTGTCTCCCCCTCTGCTATCACCAGGTTCTTCACTGAACAGCTTTTTTTGCTGTTTTGTCTGATTTCTTTAGGCATCATGTCCCTACGAGTCCCTAGGGAAGATTTTCCATCTTCCTATATAACTGTCATGGTGCAGTATCACAACTGTTGTGGGCTTGATAAGTGAATCCAGAATTGAAGCTCCTTATAAAGAAGTCATACTTTCTGAAAAAGAATTTTATTGCAAAAATTTTTTGGCCAGGAAATTGTGATTGGAGGATGGGAGGACATACAGAAAAAGGGTACTCCTCCCAGCGTGGATCGCTGCCTGCTGAGTTCCTTTCAGATGGGATAACTTCCTCCTCACTCCCGTATGGATGGGAGACCTCGGGACCCTCAGTCCACCACATCGAAGGCAGTTGCTGTCACATGTGAGGTGGACATAGGGAGTGGGGTAGAGAAAGGAAAAAAGAAGGGAAAAAAAATCCCATAGAAGCAACTTATGGCTGAATTTGAAAAAGTGTTAAAGCAAGGGTACTTTCATTTATAACTATAAACGAGGGTGGGCCAAAGGATAAAGGAATCAGTACACTCCATGACAACTTTAGGTAAATTGTTTAACATGGAGAGTAAAAACCTAAACTGCAGTCAGTTGGTTGTTATGAAAAGACTGAAAGGACTTAATTGTGAAGTTGTTTTGATTGGTACTGTAGGAGTATTAGAGATTGAGTAAATGACTTGTGTGTTCAGTGACTTGTGGGGAAAGTTACTGATGATACAGGCACACTTATTTTAAGTGCTTAAGGGGTGACTCTCAGAGCAATGGCCTATGTCAGCCAGAAGAACCCTCACCAGCCCCTCTAAAATTTGCCTGGAAGTCAGTAGAGAAGAAGGGTCTTGATGAAACACTGAGGCTCAGCAGGGAAAGGGAGGTAGACCTTGTAGTCTGAAGTTAGCAAATTCAAAATGGCTACTAGAAAGGGAGATTGATAGCATACCTTTGAAAGAGGTTACTGTAATTGTCCAGTCAAACATTTATGATCTATAAGGGAGCTATAGTGTTTGTCCAACCAGTAGAGTAAAGCATTAAGAATCTTTTTGGTGGCTGAGATGTTTAACTTTGAGAATAGGCTACTTGAAGTTATATTGATATCCTTGTCACTATCAAGTTTTTAATAGTCTTTTCTATTTTCTTAAGTGGCTTGGATAAGGCAAGGATTCTGTGATGGTTTGGTAAGCCTTATCTGCCTAGCCTGGTTTTAATTTTTATTGATTTATTTGACTTTTCTGGTTTTAACTCATTTTACATAATATGTTCATGGTATTCTCTTAGGATTTTTAAAAAATTACTAATCTTATTTGTGCTATTTTTATAAATTCTAAATGGAATTTAGTTAGACATTTGTCTGTCTTTTGGTTTTCTTGATCCTTTCTATTCTTTCTTTATATGTTTATTTCATATCTCTAGTCTTTTTTTCTTTTCTAGGTTTATTTGGTTTTCTTCTACCAAATTAAGTTGAATGTTTTAACTCATTTATTTTCCATCCTTCATATATTATAGTCAATACATATAAAATCATAAATTTCTCTCTAAATACTGTTTCACCTGTATCCTGCAGATGGTGATATATGGTGCTTTCATTAAATTCTAAATATTTTGTACTTTTTAATGAGTTTCTCCCCTGCTCCCTGACTGTGCATTTTTCTTTTTTTTTTTTTTCAGGAGTGCATTTTTAAATTTGCAAACGTATTTTTTAAACTGTCTACTTACTATTGATTTCTTATTTAATTGCAGGGAATATGGTCTATATACTTTTAGTTTTACCTTTTTAAAACACAACTCATAATATTTTTTGTTGTCAATAATTATTTAAATTTACTGACACACTTCATCAATTTCTATTCTCACCATTGATCATTTTTTGTATCTCTTTTCTTCTCTTTGAAGTCCCTTTTATTTTTGCAATAGGAGATCTTTTAATAGTTCATTTAAGTTAGGGTCAGTAGGTGGTAAACTTTCCTAGTCTTCGTACATCTTAAATATTTTGATTTTGCATTTACTCTAGAGTGGTAAATTTTGTTTTTATTTTTGTTTATATTTTTTATTGAGTTATAGTCATTTTGCAATGTTGTGTCAAATTCCAGTGTAGAGCACAATTTTTCAGTTATATATATATATATTCCTTGTCACATTTTTTTTGCTATGGTAAACAGTATGGAGATTCCTCAAAAGGCTAGGAATAGACTTAGCATTGACCCAGGAATCCCATTCCTGGGCATATATCCAGAAGGAACACTACTTCAGAATGACACCTGCACCCCATGTTCATAGCAGCACTATTTACAATAGCCAAGACATGGAAACAGCCTAAATGTCGATAAACAGAACACTGGATAAAGAAGATGTGGTATATTTATACAATGGAATACTATTCAGCCATAAAAACCGACAACATAACACCATTTGCAGCAACATGGATGTTCCTGGAGAATGTCATTCTAAGTGAAGTAAGCCAGAAAGAGAAAGAAAAATACCATATGAGATCGCTCATATGTGGAGTCTAAAATAAACAAAACATAAATACAAAACAGAAACAGACTCATAGACGTAGAATATAAACTTGAGGTTGCCCAGGGGGCAGGGAGTGGGAAGGGACAGACTGGGATTTTAAAATGTAGAATAGATAAACAAGATTATACTGTAAATTTTGTTGATTATAAAATTTGGGGCTGCCAGTTATCTCCCTTAACACTTCAAAGGTAGTATTATGTTGTCCCCTGCCATCTTTTGCTGCTAATGAAATATCTGCTGTTCTCTAATTGTCATTCTTTCGTAGGTTTTAGAATAATCTTTATGTTCTGCAATTTCATATACTGTGTCTAGGTTTCATGTAATGCTTGGTACACAAAATATACTTTTGATCATAGAATTTAGATGTTCATTCAGTTCTGGAAAATGCTCAACTATTATCTCTTTCAAACGTAACGTTCTGCCATTTTCTGCGTTTGTTTACTCTGGAATGTCTATCAAATGTGTGTTTGAACTTTACTTCTCATTCTTTCCTCTGTCTCTTGACTACTCTTTTTTTTTTTTTAATCTGAATTTTGTGTGAATTGCTCACTCTTGTCTTCCAGTTCATCATACTCTTTCTTTGACTGTGTGTAATCTAGTTTTTGTCACCTGTTGAGATTTTTTGGTTTGTTTGTTTGTTTCTTTTAATTCATGAATTTCCAGTTGGTTTTCATTCATATCTCCCTGTTCTTGTTTCATTTCTCCGTTTTTGTTTACCATTTCCTGTTAGGGAACTTTGAGGTGGTTTGGGGTTGTATAGACTTCTGATTCTATTTACTAACGTGAGTGATTAAGGACTGACAGGAAGTCCACGTTAACATTTTACACATTTAGCTATTGTTTGTTTAGCCATGATTGTTCATTATTGTTTTCTTTCAAATTTGATCTTCAATAGAGTAAAAGCATTTAGAACTTTACAAGAAGCCCTTAAGTGCAACTATGAACATTGGCAGATCTGGGAAAACTACCTTCTCACTAGCACTGACGTTGGCGAATTTTCAGAAGCCATTAAAGCTTATCATCGGCTCTTGGACTTACGAGACAAATACAAAGATGTTCAGGTAGGATATTCATATTTTGTTATTTCAGTTTGAGTTGATACTAATACTTGATTATATGATATAAATTGTTTCCTTGACTATACACAGGAAAATTTTGTTAAACATATGTAATATATAAAAAGAGTCAAATATTTTTAATTGCATATTAATTCTGGCATTCCAATCTCAAATATGTTTATGTAATCATAGACTGAATATTACTGTGACTCAGTTATGAAAATCTGATATATGATTTACACATGTGTAGTTAGCTTGCAGAAACTAAATAGAAAGATGCTCATGTTGTTTATTAGTTTGATTCTCAATGTAATAGCTGGATTAAATCCCATACTCCTTTATTCAGTCATTGAACAATCATTTACTGCATACTTTCAGATTGCTTGAATGATACAGAGTGAAGACTAACATTTTCTTTGCACTGTTTAATGAGATAGCCTTCATCTTGAGATGAAGTTCGGCCTGATTGACTCTTAACACAGTACAAAAATACTATATCTTTTCAGAAACCATGGGAGACTTGAACCCTCTATTTTTGTCATTCAATAGGATTAAGTGCAAAGACCTTGTGGGTTTAACTGTGGTTGAAGAGAATGTATGAAACAAGAGCTTATACAATGTCAGGGGGCTCAAAAATGTAATACTTTATTTGCAGTGGTGAATTTGGGATTATGAAAAAACAGAAATAACATCTAACATATGATAATACCTCACTACTGTTATGACTTATTATATGTGTATTCCAGCTGTTTCAAAATTTACCCCATCTAGGCGTGTGTTTTCAGCCCCAGCCCTTGACCTTTATGCATGTTCTTGCATATCCAGTTGTATAATTGTCTTAAATTGCTTTAAAGCTCAGGTTCTGGGCAATTCACTTAAAGATCGGTGGCCTCCAGTAGAACCATATATCTACTTACAGGAGCTATGTTTGTTGACCCGTTCAATTCCTTTTATTTTTCTGGGTTGTGTGTGTGTGTGTGTGTCCTTTCTAACTGTTGTACATTGACCATCCATTATAGAGAGAAGGGACTTGAATTTTATAAACTAAAGATCAGCTAAAATGTGAATATTAAAACGTGAATGGAGGCGCAGCAGCATTTTGTATCCTAGAGCGGATAGGAACCCTGGCAAATCTGTTTGCACAGTGCCCTGGCAGTCCAGTACTTGTCCTGCTCACCACTGTGACGGTTCTTTCTCTTCTGCGCTTAGCCCCTTGGCAAAGGGCACTGATGGGGCTCTGAACAGACCTCAGTATGTTGCTGAACCACTGAGGAAAGGCAGAGATTCCAAACTGCCTGCCTCTTGTTTACCTCAACTGTTATTTTTTAGAAGACCCTTCTTTACAAAGAAAACCTCATGAAGCCTGTTCTAAAATCTCAAGGAGAATGTAAATAATTTCCATTGGTAGTATATTCCATTTTACACTTGAAATAAATTCTTTTTTTTCCCCTTTCACATTGAAGAAAATATGCATAAAACACTCAAATCCAGCACCCCTCACTCACTCCAGCCTTCTTTAGAAATACAAACTGTCAGAGCAAGAGGGGACCTTAGAGGAGATCTGGAGATGAGGCTGAGTAAGCTGCACATGGACCAGAAAGGTCCTGCCTGATGAGACCGGAACAGGTGATGCTCCAGGCCGTCCATCTGCTTCCTGTGCTGCTGGGGCTGCTGCCGCCGCCTCAGCTCTTCCTACGTTGTATTAGGGTTGGCTTACTCGGTCAGTCCCATCCCATTAGTCTTCTGTCGTCTGTCTCCACTTCCTAGCTGATCTTTTCTTTCTGATGTGAGTGGGGTTTCCCTTCTAAATCTATATTTTGACCCATAGCAATCCTTCATAGCTGCTAAAGATTAGTAACAGTTGGCTAACCAGGCTGGCTCTTGGTATCCTGAGGAAACCCTGATCATCCTTTTATGCTTGGTACCTGCAGGAGTTGGGTTTATATAAGGACTCCTAAGGGTGGGGTCTGGGCCCCTGGCCTTCCATCAGAGGTAGACTTTGGTTGGGTCTAGTACAGAGGCATCGAAGGAAGAAGACATTTCTGTTTTATCTCTTTTATTCTCTTGTGCTTCCCAAGACACATAGAACAGGTCAAATAATAACTAACATTTAGTGAGAGCTTGCTATGTGCCAGATACTGTGCTGAGCAGTTGACACATATTAGCTAAGTTAATTGTCACCACAGCTCTGTGGGATAGACTTATGCTATCATAAGTTATGTCTCACTCCAGAATGTGTGTATCCATCTTCCCCCCTTATTTTTGATGAAATTAATAATATGAAAGAAGATAACTGTTCACAGGCTGTTTTGAAAAGCTGTTACCTCTACATCATAAAGAGTTACGAAGTCATCAAGATGTTGCTGATTTTAGTTGACTTAGACGGGTATATCAGGTATGCCGAATCGTCTTGCTAACTCATGTCTGAGAGGCACTTATTCCAAAAGAAAGACAAGACACAAATGAAACAGTTGCTTTACTGAAAATGATGATTCAGGATAAAATAAGTTCAGCCTCGATCTTTCCAATCTCCTGCACTTCCAATAGCTGGAAATGTATTGGAGAATTTTACTACCCCTAATTTGACACAACATTGTAAAATGATTATAAATCAGTAAAAAATGTTAAAAAAAATAATAATTTTACCACCCCTGCCACCCACCCCAGATGTCTTATTCTCTCTCAGGATGAAAAAATTTCTTGCAAATGTTTAGAATAATACTACTGTGTATAAGTATCTGTAAACATATGGGGAGAGAGGTGACATGTAGAGTTAATATATTGGTAGGCACAGTTGTAAATATCAGGGAGATACTCTGGCAAAAATAACCTGAGTATAGTTAGTTGATTCTAAAGATAAGACTTTCAGTTGTTGACTTGGCATGCTGTCTACCAAATCAAATTCATTGGAATTATAAGAGCATTATAAGAACATATGCTTAAAAATCTTCTAGGAGCCTTCCCTAAGAAACAGTAAAGGAACTCAAATTAATGACATTTATTCCTGAGAATTGTAGGCAATTCTCAGTGAATATAATTTAACAATTTTTAAGTAAAAATGTATTTTTCTTAAGGTTTTAATGAAGAAGTAAAAACGAAGCGAAGCTTAATGAATGTAAAGAATGATCTTGTAGCATGAGAGTATATTTTTTTCCAGTTTATCCAGCCTCAGTTCTGAAAGCGTAGAAATGAGCATTTTTCAGAAAAGGAAAAAAAAGTTAAAGAACAAGCAAATAAACAAATTTCTCCCAGCATAAATGGAGTTGCTTTCATTTAATTTTTATCTTAAATAGATTTTCCAAACATATTTTAGTGATCACTTTCAGTTTCTCACTCTTTCCAGCAAATCTAAGCATAAGTTTTCACTTAGCAAAATCATGTTCTTATTCTCATTGAAAATTTTCTAGTCTTGTATCTGCTTAAGCAGAGTATTTAACTTATATCATTCTGAACTTAAGTGAAAATTTAATCATTTCCTACCTAGAGAAAATTATTAGGATTTAGTTTAAATTCATGGGCAGCTAATATTTTAATTTTTTTCCTGTATCTTTTCTTTTGTTCCTCAAACTCAGATAGTGAAACAAACCTCCTTTTGTACAAAAGGATTTCATCTGAGCATGAATATTTCAATAAGTTTGAAATTAGTATCTATAAAAGTCCAGTACTTTTAGAAACAATCAAGTGTGGCATTTGGACTTCCCTCCCGCAGCACCCCTGTCACCACGGGAGCCCTAAGAACCATTCCTGTTAGGAAGAATACTGCTTATAGACTAACCACGCACTTCAGTAAGCATAAAGTGCTATAAAGGTGTCAGACATTATGACTGTTTGCTTAATTTTTATATTTGGATTTGAGGAAATATTACTGAGAACATAAGGACGGATAACCCGTGACTTGCTGAGGTCAAGTGATCATTTTTAGCACCTTATAATAAAGAACTTTCTCGTAGTCAGATGGAGAATTAGCCACAGTGAGATAATTCGTGAGTTTATAAAAGACACTGTTAATAGCTCTCTCTGGAAGGGTCCTGAAGTGTCTGGCAGGTGTGGGTGGAATCGCCCCATAGCGGTTAAGTCCTCCCTGAAGGAAGGCCTTGATGGCCAGTGCGGGCTCAGTCATATTTAGCTTTGTGGCACACTTGTGACTGTCGTCATGTTTTCTTACCACTAGTCAGCGTGGACTGAGACAATTGATAGATTGTCTGCAATATTTTTATCTTGGCTAAAAAAATTTTACTTAATTTGACTCTGCAAGTTTGGCAACAGGTGTCTGTCAGAAAAACTCTGATATTCTTATGTTTGACACTACCTGACCTCATTCTATTTTAATTTGCTTTAAAATTCTCTTTTTATCTATTCTTTTTCTACTTCATTATGGATGTGATTACTGCCATTTAAATTTTTTTCTATTGTGTGTATTTGTAAATATGAAAATTCATACTCATTTTAATACAGACATGGGGTAAATTAACTATAAATTATTGTTTTTGTTTTTCTTACTATTTGTAATTAGAGAATGAATGAATATACTACGTTTATCTTTTCCTGCCTTTTCTCTGTCCTAATTTTGACTATTGCATAGATTAGTATAATTCAAGAATGCTTTTTTATAATAGATTTTTATATTCATGTCTGGATTATATATATATTTTATTAATCTGTCATAAAACTGATTTTCATGTTTCTGTGTAATTAGTCCCTGTTCAATTTTCTAGTTTTCTACTATTGTTAATAATGCCATGAATATCTTTATTGACAACACCTTGGATATATTTATGCTTCTTTTTCAAGATAAATTCTATTTTTTATTTTCTTTTTTCTTGTCTCTTTTCTTACTTTTTTCTTTTTCTTTTTTTGTTCTTATCCCTCTCCCTTCCCACTCCCCTTCCACCTCTTCTTTCTTCTTCTTTGATAACTTGGTAATCATTTTGGGAAAAGAATCTATATATTGTGTTATTACACCCCATTTGCTATTTATAAATGGAAGAAGGGAAGGGGATTAA